TTCCTGAAGTGCAGAGCTACAGTTTTTTTCCTTCTCAGTCCTCACTTTTGGCTGCAGGGCATTGATTTATGGTGTGCACACCTTCACTCTTGCCGAGATTTTGTTGATTAGGATTCTGAGGAATGGACATTCAGTGTAGTCTGTAGTTGAGCCAGGTTTCTTAATCCTTTCTCCTGTTGTAAGATGAGTGGTTGAACCATCAAACGTGGCAGTGGCTGTTAAATCACAGTAAGACTCCTGAAGGGGTACATACCTGACTGTAACACCCAAGTCCTGTGGTTTTCCTCCTCCTCCTTTGTCCATTTTCTAACTCATCCCTTACCATCCCCATATCTAATCCATTTCAAAGACTTACTTTAACCTTTTAAATCTCAAATGATTGGTTCTTATTATTCTCAGTAGTTAGTACTATAAAGTTACTAGAATGTTGAATTAGTGATTCTAAGCCTTCTAGAAGTATAGTGGTAGGTTCCTGTGAGCCTCTAGTCACAACATTTTCATAGTTGGTTAGCTCATAACCTTGTTTTGTGTATTCCTGTTTAAAGACACCTTATTTAAACTACGTTGTTGATTCATTCACACATGCTCATGACCAGCAGCACTAACTTCATGCTTGAAAGAAGCTTATCTAATATATGTATTTTTTTCTGGAAGATACATCACAGCCTTCTTGTAGTTTGGTAACACTAGACAGTACTTCACTATGCTTGGGGTTCATTTTAAACAGCAAACTTACTAACAGAAAGCACAAACATGCAAAAGATGTGGCAATACATAGAGAAGAGGATACTCTACAGTGTGTGAGCTGAAACAAGAATGCATTTACTCTGCTAATAATGAGGATCGATTGTATGTCCAATTTTCTTCCTCCATTGATTGTCATAACCCTGATTCTGGCTACCATCATTTCTCACTTAGACTGCTGCACGAACTCTCCTAACTGTTCTCCATTCAATTTGGCTGAAGGAAGCTTGGTTCTCTCCAAACTCTTACCATAGTGTATGTAGCTGGAGTAATGTTTCTGAAATGCACATTTAATCATTTCCATAGTCTCCCCATCTCTACCTCAGATGGCTTTCAGTAGCTTCCCATTGCTTTTATTTAAAAAAAATTTTTTTTTCAACGTTTATTTATTTTTGGGACAGAGAGAGACAGAGCATGAACGGGGGAGGGGCAGAGAGAGAGGAAGACACAGAATCGGAAACAGGCTCCAGGCTCTGAGCCATCAGCCCAGAGCCTGACGCGGGGCTCGAACTCACAGACCGCGAGATCGTGACCTGGCTGAAGTCGGACGCTTAACCGACTGCGCCACCCAGGCGCCCTAAATAAGGTGTCTTTAAACAGGAATACACAAAACAAGGTTATGAGCTAACCAACTATGAAAATGTTGTGACTAGAGGCTCACAGGAACCTACCACTATACTTCTAGAAGGCTTAGAATCACTAATTCAACATTCTAGTAACTTTATAGTACTAACTACTGAGAATAATAAGAACCAATCATTTGAGATTTAAAAGGTTAAAGTAAGTCTTTGAAATGGATTAGATATGGGGATGGTAAGGGATGAGTTAGAAAATGGACAAAGGAGGAGGAGGAAAACCACAGGACTTGGGTGTTACAGTCAGGTATGTACCCCTTCAGGAGTCTTACTGTGATTTAACAGCCACTGCCACGTTTGATGGTTCAACCACTCATCTTACAACAGGAGAAAGGATTAAGAAACCTGGCTCAACTACAGACTACACTGAATGTCCATTCC